TGTATGATGTTATATGTATGCTATATGTATGTTATATGTATGTTATATGTATGTTATATGTATGTAGTATGTTATATGTATGTTATATGTATGTAGTATGTATGTTTTATGTATGCTATATGTATGTTATATGTATGTTATATGTATGTTATATGTATGTAGTATGTTATATGTATGTAGTATGTATGTTATATGTATGCTATATGTATGTTATATGTATGTTATATGTATGTTATATGTATGTAGTATGTTATATGTATGTAGTATGTATGTTATATGTATGTAGTATGTTATATGTATGTTATATGTATGTTATATGTATGTTATATGTATGTTTTATGTATGTTATATGTATGTAGTATGTATGTAGTATGTTATATGTATGTTATATGTATGTTATATGTATGTTTTATGTATGTAGTATGTATGTTATATGTATGTAGTATGTTATATGTATGTAGTATGTTATATGTATGTAGTATGTTATATGTATGTTATATGTATGTAGTATGTTATATGTATGTTATATGTATGTTATATGTATGTAGTATGTATGTAGTATGTTATATGTATGTAGTATGTATGTTATATGTATGTAGTATGTATGTTATATGTATGTTATATGTATGTTATATGTATGTAGTATGTATGTTATATGTATGTAGTATGTTATATGTATGTAGTATGTATGTTATATGTATGTAGTATGTATGTTATATGTATGTTATATGTATGTTATATGTATGTAGTATGTATGTTATATGTATGTAGTATGTATGTTATATGTATGTTATATGTATGTTATATGTATGTTATATGTATGTTATATGTATGTTATATGTATGTAGTATGTATGTTATATGTATGTTATATGTATGTAGTATGTTATATGTATGTTATATGTATGTTATATGTATGTAGTATGTTATATGTATGTTATATGTATGTTATATGTATGTAGTATGTATGTTATATGTATGTAGTATGTATGTTATATGTATGCTATATGTATGTTATATGTATGTTATATGTATGTTATATGTATGTAGTATGTTATATGTATGTTATATGTATGTTATATGTATGTTATATGTATGTAGTATGTTATATGTATGTAGTATGTATGTTATATGTATGCTATATGTATGTTATATGTATGTTATATGTATGTTATATGTATGTTATATGTATGTAGTATGTTATATGTATGTTATATGTATGTTATATGTATGTTATATGTATGTAGTATGTTATATGTATGTAGTATGTATGTTATATGTATGTAGTATGTTATATGTATGTTATATGTATGTTATATGTATGTTATATGTATGTTTTATGTATGTTATATGTATGTAGTATGTATGTAGTATGTTATATGTATGTTTTATGTATGTTATATGTATGTAGTATGTATGTAGTATGTATGTTATATGTATGTAGTATGTATGTTATATGTATGTAGTATGTATGTTATATGTATGTTATATGTATGTAGTATGTATGTTATATGTATGTAGTATGTATGTTATATGTATGTTATATGTATGTAGTATGTATGTAGTATGTATGTTTTATGTATGTAGTATGTATGTTATATGTATGTTATATGTATGTAGTATGTATGTTATATGTATGTTTTATGTATGTTATATGTATGTAGTATGTATGTTATATGTATGTAGTATGTTATATGTATGTTATATGTATGCTATATGTATGTTATATGTATGTTATATGTATGTTATATGTATGTTATATGTATGTAGTATGTTATATGTATGTTATATGTATGTTATATGTATGTTATATGTATGTAGTATGTTATATGTATGTAGTATGTATGTTATATGTATGTAGTATGTTATATGTATGTTATATGTATGTTATATGTATGTTATATGTATGTTTTATGTATGTTATATGTATGTAGTATGTATGTAGTATGTTATATGTATGTTATATGTATGTAGTATGTAGTATGTATGTTATATGTATGTTATATGTATGTTATATGTATGTTATATGTATGTTATATGTATGTAGTATGTATGTTATATGTATGTTATATGTATGTTATATGTATGTAGTATGTATGTTATATGTATGTTATATGTATGTAGTATGTATGTTATATGTATGTTTTATGTATGTTATATGTATGTAGTATGTATGTTATATGTATGTTATATGTATGTAGTATGTATGTTATATGTATGTAGTATGTATGTTATATGTATGTTATATGTATGTAGTATGTATGTAGTATGTATGTTTTATGTATGTTATATGTATGTAGTATGTATGTAGTATGTATGTTATATGTATGTTATATGTATGTTATATGTATGTTATATGTATGTTTTATGTATGTTATATGTATGTTATATGTATGTTATATGTATGTTATATGTATGTAGTATGTATGTTATATGTATGTTATATGTATGTTTATGTATGTTATATGTATGTTTATGTATGTTATATGTATGTTATATGTATGTTATATGTATGTTATATGTATGTAGTATGTATGTTATATGTATGTTTTATGTATGTTATATGTATGTTATATGTATGTTTTATGTATGTTTTATGTATGTTATATGTATGTTATATGTATGTTATATGTATGTTTATATGTATGTTATATGTATGTTTTATGTATGTAGTATGTTATATGTATGAATAGAGCAGTCACCAGAAGATGAAGACCAGGTCCTCCTTCTTGCTCTCCTTCGTCTCGTACGTGGCGTCGTACAGCCCGTACCGGCAGTCGTTGGGCGGCAGCAGTTTGACGAAGCATCCGTACGGGTCGTCCACGCTCTCCCCGATATCGCCCACCAGGATCTGCTTCCCCTCCTCCACAATGATCTTCTTCTTGTCTTCGCTCAGGCAGAACAGCACCGCCTTCTTCCTCTTCTTCACGTCTTCAGTTGACGAAGACTTCCTCACCTTCATGTCGTTGAACACCCGGATCACCTCGTCGTTCACGGTCACGCCTGACGCCTGCACACGAGATCAATATTCAGACATCAGCAATTCATCCAGGAAACATCTTGTATATATAAAACATGTTATGATCTATTGATCGGTTTGAGTCCTTATTATTGCTGAAATATGCGCATTTATACTCAATCTTACATCAGCAGTTCATTCCTTTCAGTCTTGTTATTGCTCAAATAAAAATCTTAATATATTAAATCTTGTATTATCTGTTCTCGGTTGAAGTCTGTTTTATTGCTGACCTCTACGGTAATGTGTTGCTCGGAGTTTAAGGACGGGTTCATTTCTTTACAAACCAGGAATAAAGTCTGAATAAAATGAGATGAGAAAGAGATGATGTAACATAAACTTTAATACTTTAATTCTGTACTCGAGTACAATGTGGTACTTTCTTTCACTTGTGAGTTGGTTAGTGTAACTGGAGCTTAGACAGTTGGTGTGTCTGTTAGTCCTTTATTTAGATAGGGCTCCAGTTAAATAGTAAGGGTTACGAGTAGGTTCATAGTGTAACTGTTCGTTAGTTAAAGTGTCTCTTAGTAAGTTAGTTTAACTTTTTAGTTAGAGTAACTGTTAGTTAGTTTGAGAGTGTTCTTGGCAGTTATATAGTGTTACTGTTGGTTAGTTAATCTGTTAACTTAGTTAGTTAGTTTGAGTTTCTCAGCCTGCAGGCCTTCAGACAGACAGGTTACAGACAGACAGGTTACAGACAGACGTTACAGACAGACAGGTTACAGACAGGCAGGTTACAGACAGACAGGTTACAGACAGACAGGTTACAGACAGGCAGGTTACAGACAGACAGGTTACAGACAGACAGGTTACAGACAGACAGGTTACAGACAGACAGGTTACAGACAGACAGGTTACAGACAGACAGGTTACAGACAGGCAGGTTACAGACAGACAGGTTACAGACAGACAGGTTACAGACAGACAGGTTACAGACAGACAGGTACAGACAGACAGGTTACAGACAGGCAGGTTACAGACAGACAGGTTACAGACAGACAGGTTACAGACAGACAGGTTACAGACAGACAGGTTACAGACAGACAGGTTTACAGACAGACAGGTTACAGGCAGGTTACAGACAGACAGGTTACAGACAGACAGGTTACAGACAGACAGGTTACAGACAGACAGGTTACAGACAGGCAGGTTACAGACAGACAGGTTACAGACAGACAGGTTACAGACAGACAGGTTACAGACAGGTTACAGACAGACAGGTTACAGACAGACAGGTTACAGACAGACAGGTTACAGACAGACAGGTGAGAGACAGACAGGTTACAGAGAGACAGACAGGTTACAGACAGACAGGTTACAGACAGGTTACAGGCAGGTTACAGACAGACAGGTTACAGGTTACAGACAGACAGGTTACAGACAGACAGGTTACAGACAGACAGGTTACAGACAGACAGGTGAGAGACAGACAGGTTACAGACAGGCAGGTTACAGACAGACAGGTTACAGACAGACAGGTTACAGACAGGCAGGTTACAGACAGACAGGTTACAGACAGGCAGGTTACAGACAGGCAGGTTACAGACAGACAGGTTACAGACAGACAGGTTTACAGACAGGCAGGTTACACAGGCAGGTTTAACAGACAGACAGGTTACAGACAGACAGGTTACAGACAGACAGGTTACAGAGAGACAGACAGGTTACAGACAGACAGGTGAGAGACAGGCAGGTTACAGACAGACAGGTTACAGACAGGCAGGTTACAGACAGGCAGGTTACAGACAGGCAGGTTACAGACAGACAGGTTACAGACAGGCAGGTTACAGACAGACAGGTTACAGACAGACAGGTTACAGAGAGACAGACAGGTTACAGACAGACAGGTTACAGACAGACAGGTTACAGACAGGCAGGTTACAGACAGACAGGTGAGAGACAGGCAGGTTACAGACAGGCAGGTTACAGACAGACAGGTTACAGACAGGCAGGTTACAGACAGGCAGGTTACAGACAGGTTACAGACAGACAGGTTACAGGTTACAGACAGACAGGTTACAGACAGGCAGGTTACAGACAGGCAGGTTACAGACAGACAGGTTACAGACAGACAGGTTACAGACAGACAGGTTACAGACAGACAGGTTACAGACAGACAGGTGACAGACAGGTTACAGACAGACAGGTTACAGACAGACAGGTTACAGACAGACAGGTTACAGACAGACAGGTTACAGACAGACAGGTTACAGACAGACAGGTTTCAGACAGACAGGTTACAGACAGACAGGTTACAGACAGGCAGGTTACAGACAGACAGGTTACAGACAGACAGGTTACAGACAGACAGGTTACAGACAGGCAGGTTACAGACAGACAGGTTACAGACAGACAGGTTACAGACAGACAGGTTACAGACAGACAGGTTACAGACAGACAGGTTACAGACAGACAGTTGACAGGTTACAGACAGTTGACAGGTTACAGACAGACAGGTTACAGACAGACAGGTTACAGACAGACAGGTTACAGACAGGCAGGTTACAGACAGGCAGGTTACAGACAGACAGGTTACAGACAGACAGTTGAGAGACAGACAGGTTACAGACAGGCAGTTGAGAGACAGACAGGTGAGAGACAGGCAGTTGAGAGACAGACAGGTTACAGACAGGCAGGTTACAGACAGGTTACAGACAGGCAGGTTACAGACAGACAGGTTACAGACAGACAGGTTACAGACAGACAGGTTACAGACAGACAGGTTTCAGACAGACAGGTTACAGACAGGCAGGTTACAGACAGGTTACAGACAGGCAGGTTACAGACAGACAGGTTACAGACAGACAGGTTACAGACAGACAGGTTTCAGACAGACAGGTTACAGACAGACAGGTTACAGACAGACAGGTTTCAGACAGACAGGTTACAGACAGACAGGTTACAGACAGGCAGGTTACAGACAGGCAGGTTACAGACAGGCAGGTTACAGACAGACAGGTTTCAGACAGACAGGTTACAGACAGACAGGTTACAGACAGGCAGGTTACAGACAGGCAGGTTACAGACAGGCAGGTTACAGACAGGCAGGTTACAGACAGGCAGGGTTACAGACAGACAGGTTACAGAACAGACAGGTTTACAGACAGGACAGTGGTTACAGGACAGACAGGTTACAGACAGGCAGGTTACAGACAGACAGGTTTCAGACAGACAGTGTTACAGACAGACAGGTTACAGACAGACAGGTTACAGACAGACAGGTTCACAGACCAGACCGGTTTCAGACAGACAGGTTACAGACAGACAGGTTACAGACAGGCAGGTTACAGACAGGCAGGTTACAGACAGGCAGGTTACAGACAGGCAGGTTACAGACAGGCAGGTTACAGACAGGCAGGTTACAGACAGACAGGTTACAGACAGACAGGTTACAGACAGACAGGTTACAGACAGACAGTTGACAGGTTACAGACAGGCAGGTTACAGACAGGCAGGTTACAGACAGACAGGTTACAGACAGACAGGTTACAGACAGGCAGGTTACAGACAGACAGGTTACAGACAGGTTACAGACAGACAGGTGACAGACAGGTTACAGACAGACAGGTTACAGACAGACAGGTTACAGACAGACAGGTTACAGACAGACAGGTTACAGACAGACAGTTGACAGGTTACAGACAGACAGGTTACAGACAGACAGGTTACAGACAGACAGGTTACAGACAGGCAGGTTACAGACAGGTTACAGACAGACAGGTGACAGACAGGTTACAGACAGACAGGTTACAGACAGACAGGTTACAGACAGACAGGTTACAGACAGACAGTTGACAGGTTACAGACAGACAGGTTACAGACAGACAGGTTACAGACAGACAGGTTACAGACAGACAGGTTACAGACAGACAGGTTACAGACAGACAGGTTACAGACAGACAGGTTACAGACAGGCAGGTTACAGACAGACAGGTTACAGACAGACAGTTGACAGGTTACAGACAGGCAGTTGAGAGACAGACAGGTTACAGACAGGCAGTTGAGAGACAGACAGGTTACAGACAGACAACATGACTCCGCAGTCTTTCTGTCTGTTAAACTCGGATTAAATACAGGTTTCTGAACCGGGTCAGACCCGGGTTATTTTTAGCGAGTGCTGCCGGTGCTCTGTCCCGGGCTGTGAGGCCTCTGAGCCCGCAGGAAACACCGGGGATGAGAGGTGTCTCCGGGCCGCGGCCTGCGGGCACAGAGGCTCCGCGGACCGTTACTTTAATAACACCGGGATATATCCCGTTACAACCCGCAGCATAACAACGGGTCACCAGGAGCCGTTACTTTATAATAATCATAGTTTAATAAACCCGGTTAAACAGCCGGTTTATCGGCAGCTAACGGAAGAATGCTACATCATGATATAGCTTAGCGCCATGTAGCATGGTGTAGCTAACGTCATGCTAACCCCATGCTAACGGAGCGGAGCCACATAACGGTCCTCCGGAGACTTTAGCCCCGCAAAGAGGCTCCCTGTCCAGGCCTCTAACAGAGAGAGGGACCGGGGGGAGAATCCGGGAGATCCTTACCATGTTGTCCCGGGGATAGACCTGCTGATGACCGTCAGAAAGGGGGAGGAAGAGGCGCTTCTGAGGGGAGAGAGGAGAGGGGAATGTGTCCGAGAGAGAGGGGGAGGAGAGAGAGGGGGGGGACTCGAACCAGCACCCGGTAAACCTGATCCACTTCATACAGCTTTTTAAAAATATTTTCAGAAATGTTTTAAAAATCTAGTGAAAACATTCTGGGATTCAATTCACATTTTAAAAAAAAGTTTAAAAAGGTCAACATCTGAATCAAATTGTGTCAAAAATATTTCCCAGAATTCTGAGATTTTCAGAGGAATTTTCCTTGTACGATGTGAGGGTCTAACTCAGGGATCACCAACTACATTTGTCCAAGGGCCAAAATGTATCCAAACAGACACTCTCGCGGGCCAGCGATTTGTATATAGCCTAGTCCACAATGCTAGTGGAGCACGCTCAGGTGCGGACCGCATAAAGCTTAGCAGACTCTTCACGCTAACGAAGCATCACTTCTAGGCAGGGTTGGGAGGGTTACTTTGTAAATGTAATCAGTTACTGAATACATGCTCTGAAAGTAATCAGAATACAGTTAGTAACGTATTCAGATTACTTTTAGAATACTTTTGGAATACTTTCTTTCCCCATAACAGATGGGTATGTTTGGGTGAACAGGAGACACGTATTTTACTGTTTAATGGCTTATCAAGAACTCAAACACAACATCTTGGTGTCATTCTGGACAGCTCTCTCATCTGCACCCCACATACAAAACATCACCCGGACTGCATTCTTTGTACTGCCTTAAAACTTTCCTTGGAATATGTTATGAATTGTAAGGTGTCCTTGGTGCTTTGAAAGGCGCCCCTAAATAGAATGAATTATCATTATTATTATTATCTGAAACGATGTAATAACTTTTTTAACGTTTTCCAGTCACTTGCCCCATGCATTCAGCAGCAGCAGGCCATTCACTTTGATTTGATCCCGTTATGAATGTCATCATTTCGACAATAAAGAAATGCTACATAAACGTTATCTTGCACATTTTATCCAACCATCTCAGTTTCTAACTTTCAATATATTTTAAAAGAGATCTCTCTCTCTCTGCGTGCGGGGGCGGGGCCTCACAGACACAGTTCTGCCGGTAATGAATATTACATTTTGTGAGGAAACTTTTCCACCAATAATTCCAATAAGTATTCCAAAATGTATTCACTTCAGGTTTACGAAAGTAACTGTAATCAGATTACTCGTTTTTCAAATGTAACGCCAGCTGAATACAGTTAGGGTGAGTTGCCCTAATGTGGGACACCTAAGCTCAAAGGGGTGTAGGTCTTCCGCAAACAAATGAGAGTCAATGAAACTACGGGTTAACACAAGCTGTGATGTCATGCGATCAAAATCACATGACTTCTCAAATATCCAATCACAGATGAGGGTGGAAAAACCTTTAAACAGGAAGTACCATGTGTGAAGACCACCCAATTGTCAATGACATAGCGTTTTGACAAATGTAATGTTAAGGTTTTAAATTTCGTATAAATAAAACAATCTTGCAAATTTTTATCAGGATGTGTTTATGATATGTTTGTTCATCAGAACATATTATAATATGGTGTAAATATACTCTATATTTTTTATTTCAATCAAATGTTCCATCGTCCCACTTTAGGAAACATGTTTCGCAAAGTGGGACAGTATGATTTGCCTAATGTGGGACAGGTCTAAAAGGGGCATGGATTGTGCAAGAGCAATGGTTATTTACAGGGCTTTAGTCTAATGCAGTATTTTAGATATTTAAGGTGAAGGGCAAATCATATTAAATAATTGGGGGTGGCTGCATCTCTGTTAAAATGGTATGACAAAGTCAGAGATAATGTTAGGGATTAATGTCTGAGTTTAAGAGATGGCAATTAATTTAAGCCCAAATATTCATAGTAATTTAATAAATCCTTCCAACACACATTGTAAAAAATAGCCTAAGTTAAGAAATCATTCCAATATGTGCTATAGGTCAGTAAAAAACAACAACACACAGTGTAAAAGGGGAGTGATTAGTCGAATATGCATAAATAAAAAAGAAAGAATGCAGACTAAGATAAAGATAGGAGAGAGGAGTTTATCAATGATGTGTTATTGGCTGTGAGCATATTCTAATGGTTTTTGGATTATTGAAATATATACAGTTCTGTTTCATATGAGTGTTGAGAGCTGTATCCATAAATCTCTTAATGTTGCCCTCAAAGTGCATCAGATTGATGCATTTAACTTCAATTTAAAGAAAAACATCTTCTGTTGTAAAAACAATAACATTATAAATAGTAACATAGCTGAACATGGTATTGCACATTTAGCTTTGAGTGTTACTGACCTGAGATGTTTTTATTACATGAATTAAGGTGACTGAGGCTTTTTAACATATACTTTTCAGTGTCCCACATTTTGCACAGAACTGTCCCACATTAGGAAAAGCAGATTGTCTGAGACAACTTGGCACTAAGAGTACTTATATGTCTACCATTTCTTTTATGAGTGTAATATCTGCATTTTCTCTTTTGGTTTGATTAGGACACATCCTGGGTATTTCACAATGGTACTTGATGTTGATTTATTGTATCGGCTTCATATCGCAAAATATTCCCGAAGTCTGAAATGCAAAAAATGTCCCACATTAGGGCAATTCACCCTACTTGATTTTTGTATTCTGATTACGTAACGCCGTTACATATATTCCGTTACAACCATACGTTACAACCCAACCCTGCTTCTAGGCTACTGTCCCACAGCTCCTGCCTCTCTGTTGGACTCTGTCGCAGCGGGGCTGCTGCTGTGCTGCGAAGCGCACAAAGCAGACTCTTCACAACTTAGGATCACTTCTTCTTCAAGGCAGGGAAGGTTTCGCAGTCTACTGTCCCGCAGCTGCTGCCTCTCTGTTGGACTCCGGTACTGCACCTTACTCACGAGACGTTGTAAAAAATAAATGGGTGTGGGGCGAACGCAGTAACGCCACAGTCACCCCCGTCGTGCGGGCCGGATGAGAATGTCTGGCGGGCCGGATGTGGCCCGCGGGCCGCCAGTTGGTGGTCACTGGTCTAAGGACAGAGGGTCTAAGGACAGAGGGTCCAAGGACAGAGGGTCTAAGGACAGAGGGTCTAAGGACAGAGGGTCCAAGGACAGAGGGTCTAAGGATAGAGGGTCTAAGGACAGAGGGTCTAAGGATAGAGGGTCCAAGGACAGAGGGTCTAAGGATAGAGGGTCTAAGGACAGAGGGTCTACGGACAGATGGTCTGAGCACAGAGGGTCTAAGGACAGAGGGTCTGAGCACAGAGGGTCTAAGGACAGAGGGTCTAAGGATAGAGGGTCTAAGGACAGAGGGTCTAAGGACAGAGGGTCCAAGGACAGAGGGTCCAAGGACAGAGGGTCTAAGGATAGAGGGTCTAAGGACAGAGGGTCTAAGGACAGAGGGTCTGAGCACAGAGGGTCTAAGGACAGAGGGTCTGAGCACAGAGGGTCTAAGGACAGAGGGTCGGGTCTAAGGACAGAGGGTCTGAGCACAGAGGGTCTAAGGACAGAGGGTCTGAGCACAGAGGGTCTAAGGACAGAGGGTCTGAGCACAGAGGGTCTAAGGACAGAGGGTCTGAGCACAGAGGGTCTAAGGACAGAGGGTCTGAGCACAGAGGGTCTAAGGACAGAGGGTCTGAGCACAGAGGGTCTAAGGACAGAGGGTCTGAGCACAGAGGGTCTAAGGACAGAGGGTCTGAGCACAGAGGGTCTAAGGACAGAGGGTCTGAGCACAGAGGGTCTAAGGACAGAGGGTCTGAGCACAGAGGGTCTAAGGACAGAGGGTCTGAGCACAGAGGGTCTAAGGACAGAGGGTCTGAGGACAGAGGGTCTAAGGACAGAGGGTCTAAGGGTAGAAGGTGTCGTTTTTCTCATACTGATATTCTGAACAATCTGTGCTGTTGTATTTGCTGTAAAGTGTCTCTACTCTTTCAGAATCAGATTTACAAATATTATATTTTGACCTTATTCGAAATATTCGGTTATTTTCAAAAGCTTTTTTAGTCTGATGCTTCGATTCATTTTAAACAGACCGTTCAACAAAAGGATACCCAACATCTAAATATTGGATTGTTCTTTCTTAGTAAGATCCCATGTTCATTACAATGGTGGTCTTACCTTGACTTGAAGATGAAGTCCATGCTATCCTTCTGGACAACAATCTCTATTACTGTTTTGTAAAAGTCCTCCTTATCTTCCTCTAGTTTCAAAAGTCTAGTTTGTTTGCGTCTACAGTCTCTGCGTAGAATAACAGTAGCAACAAGGACCTGTGGGCTCACGTGCGCCCCCTTCAGTGCGGCAGAGGTTATGGCTGCCTCCCCTGGTGCTTTTTTCATTGCCGTTGTACGATGAGATCAGCGAGCCTAAATATCATATATACGTGAAATAAGTTATTTAGAGACTATGGATGGCGAGGATAAATGTAATAAAGGGATCTACAAACATTACATTGGTGACCTACAGTGAGATGGTGCAGGCATGCGCTTAGGGCCCGCTTTCCAGCCAGTTACTGTGGGCTTACGAGAGGCAGAGCTCGTCCCTGCCTCACTTCTTCTCATCGCTACCCGTAGTTGTAGCGGAGCTCGGCAAATTTGCTGATTTTGACTATAAAAAGCGATTGGAATCAAACATTAATAACATTTACAAAACAGATCAGTGGAGACATTTTATTATTATTACTATTTCGTTTTTCTTTAGTTGTTTTTCCGTTACATTGGAGTATGACAGGTGAGGCTCTACCTCCCCTGACTGCACGTCGCTGATGTACAGCACTTTGGCTCGACCAAAAATCTTTATAAATGTGCTACATAAATAAAACTTGATTTGAAAAACTTGAATTGCTATGAGGAGGAGGGGAAGGCTTACTATTGGCTCTTCAAAAAAATGTAAAAATACCAACCAATCAGGAGACAGGAAGTTGTCTTCATCCCGCCTGCTTCCCATCCCACAGATTACTCTTACAGGTACATGTACACACAGGTACAGGTGAGCACTAACTTTAAATACTGCAACACTTTATAACTCTTCGAGCACGCAGAGACAGCTGGTTATAACACTTTATTTATTATTTCAGAACAAACACCATCAGGAAGATCCTACCAGTCATAAAGACAATGAAGGCAGAACTAAATAAATATGCAGCGCTCCAGTGTAGTGTACAGCTGACCTCCACACACACACACACACACACACACACACAATCTCTCTCCCTCTCTCTCACACACACACACACACACACACACACACCACTGACTGAGCTGCAGCAGTCACACTAACACCACAGAAGAAGAACGCATCAAACAAAGGAACACTCTAAAGCAGGTAAACGTTGCAGTAGTCCAACAAAAACTACAAATCCCAGAAGCCTCAGGCTGCCTCTTAAAGGGACAGCGCCACATTTTATTATCTGATCTCGTCACTTCAACTCATTGCATGTCTGCCTTTATGCTAAACTAAACTAAGACTACTCTGTGGCACCGAATCCAAGAGGATGAATTATCGTTAATCCATCTTTAGATTCATGATGTATCGCCCCTTTCTAAATGTGGGACTGTCCCTTTAAGGCTAACGACACTTTCAATTGGCCAGTATTTCTGCTCTCTTACTGAACACACGTTTAATTCAGCCGGAAAATCAGTCAAAACTATTTACATTCAAATCAAATACATGTTTTTGTCCCTGAGCGAAAACTAACGGCCGGATGGGAGTTTAGATGAACCACTCTACCTGTCTGCCTCTACCTGTCTGTCTCTACCTGTCTGTCTCTACCTGTCTGTCTCTACCTGTCTGTCTCTACCTGTCTGCCTCTACCTGTCTGCCTCTACCTGTCTGCCTCTACCTGTCTGTCTCTACCTGTCTGTCTCTAATGTCCTACAGGAATGTCTTTAAACTCTGACCCAGTAAATATAAAAATGCCCTGAACGTCAGCAGGTCGAGGAAATCTACTCAACTTCTCTAGGGTTTCACAAACTCACAGTGGAAGGGTTGTTTATAACAGTGAGGGTCATGTGATCAGGTGAGAGGGGTCTCAGGTGAGCTTCAAACAAAACAAGCTCAGACTCATCATGAAAGGGATATTTCAGGGAGTATGAGACGGTTCCCCAGCCAGTGTTTCACCTGCAGCAGGTCTAAAGACACCTGGGTCCATTCATAACGACTCGGTGCACAGGTGCTCATCCTCTACAGGTGTTCTTCCTCTACAGGTGAGTTTAGTCTTGAGTTATTGAGAGACTTGGTGTTTTAAACAGACAGCTTGGGTTCACAGAGGTCTCACACTGACAGGTGGAGGTATGACAGGTGTGTTTTATGAATGGAGTCAGGTGTCCCTTACAGAACAGGTAACTTATTTTAAGTCTTTAAGTCTCTTCTAAATAATACTTTTCTCAGAAAGCGTATCCAGATTTTAGAAGTGTATTTTCCCCTTAAAGGAATTTAATCATTCACTTTGAGCTAAGGTTTAAACGTGTTAATATAAAGGTTATTAAAGTAGCAGCTAAAACACTGACTGTGGAGAAGCCCCGCCCACTCATCATCCCTTTGATTGTCAGCTGGTTCAGACGGGGTCAGGAGGACCAATCAGCAGAGAGGACGGCGGTGAGGTCACAGGTCACTGTCGGGAGCGCTTCGCGGGGGGGGGCGGGGCTGCGCTCTGATTGGCCGAGCCTGCTGCGCTCGGATAGGCCGAGCCTGCTGAGCTCGGCGTGGAAGAAGAGCTGCAGACGAGTTCCTGCCTTCGCCTCGTTAGTGTGGCGAGGGTTATACTGCAGGCAGTTAGAGAACATCAGCTCCATGTCCGTCACAAACTCACCTGGAGGGAGGAGGGGAAGTTACAGGTAAATAACAAGTAGTTTCATTTTTAAATGTAGAAACGAAACAACATTTGGTTTTCAATGTTTGACGATCACTTCACAAGCTCTAAAAAGTCAATTATAAAAACTGGAGACGACCATCTAGCCGCAGACAAAAGCAACAGATGTTCTGGGTCACCTGAACACACCATACACACACCTGAACACAGCATCATACACACACCTGAACTCAGCATCATACACACACCTGAACTCAGCATCATACACACACCTGAACTCAGCATCATACACACACCTGAACACACAACTGTACACACCTTACACACACCTGAACACACCATACACACACACAACTGGACACACCTGAACACAACTGTACGCACCTGAACACACCTGGAAACACACCATACACACCTGGAAACACCATACACACCTGGAAACACCATACACACCTGCAAACACCTGAACACACCTGGAAACACCATACACACCTGAACACACCTGGAAACACACCATACACACCTGGAAACACCATACACACCTGGAAACACCTGAACACACCTGGAAACACCATACACACCTGGAAACACCATACACACCTGGAAACACCTGAACACACCTGGAAACACCATACACACCTGGAAACACCTGAACACACCTGGAAACACCATACACACCTGAACACACCTGGAAACACCATACACACCTGAACACACCTGGAAACACCATACACACCTGGAAACACCATACACACCTGGAAACACCATACACACCTGAACACACCTGGAAACACCATACACACCTGAACACACCTGGAAACACCATACACACCTGGAAACACCATACACACCTGGAAATACCATACACACCTGCAAACACCTGAACACACCTGGAAACACCATACACACCTGGAAACACCATACACACCTGGAAACACCTGAACACACCTGGAAACACCTGAACACACCTGGAAACACCATACACACCTGGAAACACCATACACACCTGAACACACCTGGAAACACCTGAACACACCTGGAAACACCTGAACACACCATACACACCTGGAAACACCTGAACACACCTGGAAACACACCATACACACCTGGAAACACCTGAACACACCTGGAAACACCTGAACACACCTGGAAACACCATACACACCTGGAAACACCATACACACCTGAACACACCTGGAGTGTCAGCATTAACCTTTCCTGATGCGTCCAGGTACCTGAAGACACTTCATCAAACAGCTCAACATGTGTCCCCTGAACTACATCAGGACAGAACATGTGGCTCTGATCACAGGTGTGTTAAACATCTTCCAGGTGACTCTGGGTAGGAAGGAAAGTGTGTGTGTGTCCTCACCTGCAGTCTGGTATTCACAGGTGTTGACTTTCTCTCTGATGGTGCTGAGAGCAATCGGTGATTTCACAATGTCATAGTAGTCAGGGACCTGCAGAGAGACAGACAGGTGGGTTACAGAGAGACAGGTGAGTTACAGAGAGACAGGTGAGTTACAGAGAGACAGGTGAGTTACAGAGAGACAGACAGGTGAGTTACAGACAGACAGGTGAGTTACAGACAGACAGATGAGTTACAGACAGACAGGTGAGTTACAGAGAGACAGGTGAGTTACAGAGAGATAGGTGAGTTACAGAGAGACAGACAGGTGAGTTACAGAGAGACAGACAGGTGAGTTACAGACAGACAGGTGAGTTACAGACAGACAGGTGAGTTACAGAGAGACAGGTGAGTTACAGAGAGATAGGTGAGTTACAGAGAGACAGACAGGTGAGTTACAGAGAGACAGACAGGTGAGTTACAGACAGACAGGTGAGTTACAGAGAGACAGGTGAGTTATAGAGAGACAGGTGAGTTACAGAGAGATAGGTGAGTTACAGAGAGACAGACAGGTGAGTTACAGAGAGACAGGTGGGTTACAGAGAGACAGACAGGTGAGTTACAGAGAGACAGGTGGGTTACAGAGAGACAGACAGGTGAGTTACAGAGAGACAGGTGAGTTACAGAGAGACAGGTGAGTTACAGAGAGACAGGTGAGTTACAGAGAGACAGACAGGTGAGTTACAGACAGACAGGTGAGTTATAGAGAGACAGGTGAGTTACAGAGAGATAGGTGAGTTACAGAGAGACAGGTGAGTTACAGAGAGACAGACAGGTGAGTTACAGACAGACAGGTGAGTTATAGAGAGACAGGTGAGTTACAGAGAGATAGGTGAGTTACAGAGAGACAGACAGGTGAGTTACAGAGAGACAGGTGGGTTACAGAGAGACAGACAGGTGAGTTACAGAGAGACAGGTGGGTTACAGAGAGACAGACAGGTGAGTTACAGAGAGACAGGTGAGTTACAGAGAGACAGGTGAGTTACAGAGAGACAGGTGAGTTACAGAGAGACAGACAGGTGAGTTACAGAGAGACAGGTGAGTTACAGAGAGACAGGTGAGTTACAGAGAGACAGGTGAGTTACAGAGAGACAGGTGAGTTACAGAGAGACAGGTGAGTTACAGAGAGACAGACAGGTGAGTTACAGACAGACAGACAGGTGAGTTACAGACAGACAGGTGAGTTACAGAGAGACAGGTGAGTTACAGAGAGACAGACAGGTGAGTTACAGACAGACAGGTGAGTTACAGACAGACAGGTGAGTTACAGACAGACAGGTGAGTTACAGAGAGACAGGTGAGTTACAGAGAGATAGGTGAGTTACAGAGAGACAGACAGGTGAGTTACAGAGAGACAGACAGGTGAGTTACAGAGAGACAGACAGGTGAGTTACAGACAGACAGGTGAGTTACAGAGAGACAGGTGAGTTACAGAGAGATAGGTGAGTTACAGAGAGACAGACAGGTGAGTTACAGAGAGACAGACAGGTGAGTTACAGAGAGACAGGTGAGTTATAGAGAGACAGGTGAGTTACAGAGAGATAGGTGAGTTACAGAGAGACAGACAGGTGAGTTACAGAGAGACAGGTGGGTTACAGAGAGACAGACAGGTGAGTTACAGAGAGACAGGTGGGTTACAGAGAGACAGACAGGTGAGTTACAGAGAGACAGGTGAGTTACAGAGAGACAGGTGAGTTACAGAGAGACAGGTGAGTTACAGAGAGACAGACAGGTGAGTTACAGACAGACAGGTGAGTTATAGAGAGACAGGTGAGTTACAGAGAGATAGGTGAGTTACAGAGAGACAGACAGGTGAGTTACAGAGAGACAGGTGGGTTACAGAGAGACAGACAGGTGAGTTACAGAGAGACAGGTGAGTTACAGAGAGACAGGTGAGTTACAGAGAGACAGGTGGGTTACAGAGAGACAGACAGGTGAGTTACAGAGAGACAGGTGAGTTACAGAGAGACAGGTGAGTTACAGAGAGACAGGTGAGTTACAGAGAGACAGACAGGTGAGTTACAGAGAGACAGGTGAGTTACAGAGAGACAGGTGAGTTACAGAGAGACAGGTGAGTTACAGAGAGACAGGTGAGTTACAGAGAGACAGACAGGTGAGTTACAGACAGACAGGTGAGTTACAGACAGACAGGTGAGTTACAGAGAGACAGCTGAGTTACAGAGAGACAGGTGAGTTACAGAGAGACAGGTGAGTTACAGAGAGACAGACAGGTGAGTTACAGAGAGACAGGTGGGTTACAGAGAGACAGGTGAGTTACAGAGAGACAAGTGAGTTACAGAGAGACAGGTGAGTTACAGACAGACAGGTGGGTTACAGACAGACAGGTGAGTTACAGACAGACAGGTGAGTTACAGACAGACAGGTGAGTTACAGAGAGACAGGTGAGTTACAGAGAGACAGGTGGGTTACAGAGAGACAGGTGAGTTACAGACAGACAGGTGAGTTACAGACAGACAGGTGAGTTACAGAGAGACAGGGTGAGTTACAGAGAGATAGGTGAGTTACAGAGAGACAGACAGGTGAGTTACAGAGAGACAGGTGAGTTACAGAGAGACAGACAGGTGAGTTACAGAGAGACAGGTGGGTTACAGAGAGACAGACAGGTGAGTTACAGAGAGACAGGTGAGTTACAGAGAGACAGGTGAGTTACAGAGAGACAGGTGAGTTACAGAGAGACAGGCGAGTTACAGAGAGACAGGTGAGTTACAGAGAGACAGACAGGTGAGTTACAGAGAGACAGGTGAGTTACAGAGAGACAGGTGAGTTACAGAGAGACAGGTGGGTTACAGAGAGACAGACAGGTGAGTTACAGAGACAGGTGAGTTACAGAGAGACAGGTGAGTTACAGAGAGACAGGTGAGTTACAGAGAGACAGGCGAGTTACAGAGAGACAGGTGAGTTACAGAGAGACAGGTGAGTTACAGAGAGACAGGTGAGTTACAGAGAGACAGACAGGTGAGTTACAGAGAGACAGGTGAGTTACAGAGAGACAGACAGGTGAGTTACAGAGAGACAGGTGAGTTACAGAGAGACAGGTGAGTTACAGAGAGACAGGTGAGTGCCAGAGAGACAGGTGAGTGCCAGAGAGACAGGTGAGTGCCAGAGAGACAGGTGAGTGCCAGAGAGACAGACAGGTGAGTGCCAGAGAGACAGACAGGTGAGTTACAGAGAGACAGGTGAGTTACAGAGAGACAGGTGAGTTACAGAGAGACAGGTGAGTTACAGACAGACAGGTGAGTTACAGAGAGACAGGTAGGAATGGAAAAAAACGATACAAAGCCGATCCCAAAATTCTGAAAATCAGTACTGGTGCTCGGCACTGAAAGTGTGTGTGTGTGTGTGTGTGAGAGAGTGAGAGAGAAAGAGAGAGTGTGTGTGTGTGTGAGAGAGATAAAGAGAGAGTGTGTGTGTGTGTGTGAGAGAGTGAGAGAGAAAGAGAGAGTGTGTGTGTGAGAGAGAGAGAAAGAGAGAGTGTGTGTGTGTGTGTGTGTGTGAGAGAGAGAAAGAGAGAGTGTGTGTGTGTGTGTGTGTGTGTGTGGTGTGTGTGTGTGTGTGAGAGAGAGAGAGAGAGTGTGTGTGTGAGAGAGAGAGAAAGAGAGAGTGTGTGTGTGTGTGTGAGAGAGAGAAAGAGAGAGTGTGTGTGAGAGAGTGAGAAAGAGAGAGTGTGTGTGTGAGAGAGAGAGTGAGAGAGAGAGAGTGTGTGTGTGTGTGTGAGAGAGAGAAAGAGAGAGTGTGTGTGTGTGTGTGTGTGTGTGTGTGTGTGTGTGTGTGTGTACCTGTGTCCTGGACACCAGCTTGATGAAGGGCCAGCTGTCATCATGTCTCACCAGCTCCACCACCAGCTGCTCACAGGCTGACAGCTCGTGGACCCCATGGTTCCTGCCAGAGGAACGACGTGAGGAAGAGGAAGAGGAGGAGGAGGAGGAGGGGGGGAGGACGGGGCGTGGGGGGAGGGGAAGAGCCACATCTGGGTGGGGGGAGGGAGAGAATGTCAGGTAAGGAGGATCACTTCCTTCTTTGGTGTTATCTAATAATAATACATGTCCTCATATAGCACACTTTAAAAACAACGTCATCTCAAGGTGCTATGAGGAGAAAATACAATAAAGTATTATCTGTTCACTGATTGGATGTTTACCTGTCTGCAGGCGCTATCTAATTGGCTGTTTACCTGTGTTCAGGTGTGATCTGATTGGCTGTGTTCAGGTGTTATCTGATTGGTTGTTTACCTGTCTACAGGTGTGATCTGATTGGCTGTTTACCTGTCTACAGGTGTGATCTGGTTGGCTGTTTACCTGTCTACAGGTGTGATCTGGTTGGCTGTTTACCTGTCTACATGTGTTCTCTGATTGGCTGTTTACCTGTCTACAGGTGTTATCTGATTGGTTGTTTACCTGTCTACAGGTGTGATCTGATTGGCTGTTTACCTGTCTACAGGTGTGATCTGGTTGGCTGTTTACCTGTGTTCAGGTGTTCTCTGATTGGCTGTTTACCTGTCTGCAGGTGCTATTTAATTGGTTGTTTACCTGTGTTCAGGTGTTCTCTGATTGGCTGTTTACCTGTCTGCAGGTGCTATTTAATTGGTTGTTTACCTGTCTGCAGGTGCTATCTAATTGGCTGTTTACCTGTCTACAGGTGTCTGATTGGCTGTTTACCTGCCTACAGGTGTTCTCTGATTGGCTGTTTACCTGTGTTCAGGTGTTATCTGATTGGCTGTGTTCAGGTGTTATCTGATTGGCTGTGTTCAGGCGTTATCTGATTGGTTGTTTACCTGTGTTCAGGTGTGATCTGATTGGTTATTTACTTGTCTACAGGTGCGATCTGATTGGTTGTTTACTTGTCTACAAGTGTGATCTGATTGGTTGTTTACCTGTGGCTGGTCTCTTTCGGGCCTCGCTCTGACCAGGTGAGTTTTTTTTGGTCGTGGTCGTAGCTAGGATCTCGAGGCTCAGACGGGCGCTGACGCGACTCCCTGAGCGGGGCGGAGCTTTACCTGCAGGGGGCGTGGCCTTCCCCTTGTGTGGTGTGGCCTTCCCCTTGTGTGGCGTGGCCTTCCCCTTGGGGGGCGTGGCCTTCTTTCCTGAGGACCTGTGATTGGATAGAGCCAGGGTTATTATCGTTAACTGAAACCAAAACTAAAATAGGCTTTAAAGCAGGGGTGCCCAACCTTTTTTGAACCGAGAGCTACTTTTAAAGTTGCCAGTCTGCCGAGATCTGCCAGTCCAAATAGAGAGGCCATTACTGACAGCCTCCTACCAGGTAAATACACACTTCTACTTGTATAAAACTGACCTTTATACGATTAATACTTCATAAAATACTGCAGATCCTTTATCTTACCTCTTTCTAATCTACACAAGTATTTAACTGAAGCTACACAACAGTGTTGTTGATACAGAGTTGGAGTTTATTCACACGTCACTACAGTGGGTCATGTTTTCAAGAAGCATTGAACAGTGCTGCCACATATGACTCAGGAAGAAAGAAAAGACTCTGAACCCTTTCTTTGCCATTATATAAAAATAGTGTTGCTACAAAAGCATAAATGAGGCTTTCTGATAAGACGACTCTGATCTGAAGCTGCTCAGGAATCTGCTGCCAACGTGCAATAAAAAGACAACATTAATCAAACACTTTTTTTGTTGCATTTTAGTCGAGTATAAAAAGAAATGCCTTTAAAATAGGATGCAAGCAACACTAGCTTCTTAACCTGAACTGATAATAGACTATAATCAATTTAAGTTTGCATTCTTATACCATTTTGTACAATAATTATAATGAATAAGTTCAAACAAACTAAAACTTACAGCTGATTAATAACGGTATCTAACTTGAGTTTTTATTATATCAAAAACCTGTTGAAATGCTTCTGTTATTTTTACTGTCCCCCCAAAGCGCGTCGGCAGCCTCCAGGAATGCTTCTTTCACAACTTCGCCGTCTTTGAAAGACTTCATGTGTTTCTCCAGAACGTGACTGACACGATAAGATGCTCTGGTAGCAGCCTTGCTCTTGTTGTTGGGCCTGGTGGAAATGGACTGCTGTGCATTTAGCTGTCCTTTCAGGCCCCTCCCCTTTGGGAGCGTAGGGCAGAATCAGGAGGGAGTTCCGTCTCGTAGCGTTTGTGCACTGTTTTGAAATGCCGCTCCTAAATGACCCTTCTTCGATAAAGCCACGCCCGCATTACATATGAGACAGATGGACTTTGAATTGGAATAGATACACAAATAATCATCCTCCCACTCGGAGTGGAAACTATATATTTTGGGCTTTTTTGCTTCTGCCATAATTGCGGTCTTGTGTGTGTGCGGACTGTCACTCCTGTTGCCACGGACAACGTCAGCGAAATAGTGCCCACTGCCCACCAGCCACGCCCCCACACATGGGGTCACGTCGGCCAATCACAAAGCTTTGATGCGTTCAAGTGCATTATTCTGGCACAGGAAGATTATGTTACAGGACATTAACGATAAAACAGAATATTGTTGTTCTATTTTTAGACACATCTTGCGATCGACCGGTTGGGCACCCCTGCTCTAAAGGATAGACTCAGCTCAGATAAATTATTAACAACTCAACCTGAGTTCTGTTTGTAGCTACAGACGTCTAGGAAATATATCTGGCTACAAGAAAAACTTTTATATTTTGATCGAGTTTCAGTAGATACTGACTTTGAGGCAGAGGAGTTTTTCCCTGATGAAGAGGTGGTGTTTTTGGGCGTGGTCTGTTGACCTTTGGGCGTGGCCTGTTGGCTCCTCCCTCTCGGGGGCAGGGTCTGTTGGCTCCTCCCTCTTGGGGGCGGGGGCTGGCTCTTCTTGCTGCAGAGATTACGGGATGTTCATATTAATATAGAGATATATATATATCTTTGATTAGAGATGAGGGTAAAGTATTCTCACTCACCTCACAACGACTTCTTCCTCCTCCTCCTCCTCCTCTTCTTCCGACTCCTCCTCTTCCTCTTCTGACTCCTCCTCCTCCTCTTCTTCACCCTCCCCCTCTTCCTCCTCCTCATCGATGGAGGATCTCTGACGGGACGGCAGGCGGCTCGATCTTTGTTTGGGTCGACAGTCCGGACAGAACCAGTCTCCTCCAGGAACAAACTGAGACAACATGTGAACTGTTAGCTCGATGCTATAAAGCTACACAACAACAACAACAACAACAATAGGGTTTAGTGTGTGTGTGTGTGTGTGTGTACCTTCAGCTTGGGTCTCAGGCAGTGTGTGTGTACCTTCAGCTTGGGTCTCAGGCAGTGTGTGTGTGTGTGTGTGTGTACCTTCAGCTTGGGTCTCAGGCAGTGTGTGTGTGTGTGTACCTTCAGCTTGGGTCTCAGGCAGTGTGTGTGTACCTTCAGCTTGGGTCTCAGGCAGTGTGTGTGTGTGTGTGTGTGTGTACCTTCAGCTTGGGTCTCAGGCAGTGTGTGTGTGTGTGTACCTTCAGCTTGGGTCTCAGGCAGTGTGTGTGTGTACCTTCAGCTTGGGTCTCAGGCAGTGTGTGTGTGTGTGTATACCTTTAGCTTGGGTCTCAGGCAGTGTGTGTGTGTGTGTACCTTCAGCTTGGGTCTCAGGCAGTGTGTGTGTGTGTGTACCTTCAGCTTGGGTCTCAGGCAGTGTGTGTGTGTGTGTACCTTCAGCTTGGGTCTCAGGCAGTGTGTGTGTACCTTCAGCTTGGGTCTCAGACAGTGTGTGTGTGTGTGTGTGTGTACCTTCAGCTTGGGTCTCAGGCAGTGTGTGTGTGTGTGTGTGTGTACCTTCAGCTTGGGTCTCAGGCAGTGTGTGTGTGTGTGTGTGTGTGTGTGTGTACCTTCAGCTTGGGTCTCAGGCAGTGTGTGTGTGTGTGTGTGTGTACCTTCAGCTTGGGTCTCAGGCAGTGTGTGTGTGTGTGTGTGTGTGTACCTTCAGCTTGGGTCTCAGGCAGGTGTGTGTGTGTGTGTGTGTGTGTACCTTCAGCTTGGGTCTCAGGCAGTGTGTGTGTGTGTGTACCTTCAGCTTGGGTCTCAGGCAGTGTGTGTGTGTGTGTGTGTGTGTACCTTCAGCTTGGGTCTCAGGCAGTGTGTGTGGTGTTGTGTGTGTGTGTACCTTCAGCTTGGGTCTCAGGCAGTGTGTGGTGTGGTGGTGTACCTTCAGCTTGGGTCTCAGGCAGTGTGTGTGTGTGTGTACCTTCAGCTTGGGTCTCAGGCAGTGTGTGTGTACCTTCAGCTTGGGTCTCAGGCAGTGTGTGTGTGTACCTTCAGCTTGGGTCTCAGGCATTGTGTGTGTGTGTACCTTCAGCTTGGGTCTCAGGCATCGTGTGTGTACCTTCAGCTGGTGCTCAGGCAGTGTGTGTGGGTACCTTCAGCTTGGGTCTCAGGCATGGTGTGTGGTGTACCTTCAGCTTGGGTCTCAGGCAGTGTGTGTGGTGTGTGTGTGTGTGTGTGTGTACCTTCAGCTTGGGTCTCAGGCAGTGTGTGTGTGTACCTTCAGCTTGGGTCTCAGGCAGTGTGTGTGTGTGTGGTGTACCTTCAGCTTGGGTCTCAGGCAGTGTGTGGTGGGTACCTTCAGCTTGGGTCTCAGGCAGTGTTTGTGTGTGTGTACTTCAGCTTGGGTCTCAGGCAGTGTGTGGTGTGTGTAGCCTTCAGCTTGGGTCTCAGGCAGTGTGTGGTGTGTGTACCTTCAGCTTGGGGTCTCAGGGCAGTGTGTGTGTGTACCTTCAGCTTGGGGTCTCAGGCAGTGTGTGTGTGTGTGTACCTTCA